GCAGTCATGGGAGAGTCTAGAAAGTACCAGTCCGGTCCAGCAAGTACCACGGGGGGGACTGTGTGCACCATGGGCCAGGGACACAAGGCAGACCAATGCAGCACAGAAGTATAAATCAAGAGGCTGCGTCCAGCCATTCATTCATTCCTGCGGATGCCATGCGGAAGCGCTGCCCTAGCAGCTTGTGCGAGGAGGTCTGCAGTGTGCCCGAAGACGAAGTGGGCAGAGAAGTGTAGTGTAGCGATAGGTAGTGGCAGCTAGCGCTGCCATAGCTGTAGCATAGCGTGTGTGTGTGTTGCGTATGATACTGAGTGTTGCGTGTGGGACATCCAGGGTGATCCAGAGTGCGAACAGTGAGATGTGTGGGCGCCCAGTCGCCATAGCCAGTTGAAGAGAACTCATATCTGGTTACGATATCTTAAGTACTGTCAGGGCGCATGTCGCCAGTTGCTGTATCGCTGTTTGCGTGCAAGACAAGTGTGAATAATCGGAGTGTGAATGCAAGGCAAAAGTTGTTCAGTTTATTTTTCTGCATAACATGATTGTTTTCCAGGTTTTTTGGATTTCTTTTTTTTTTTTTTTTGCTGGGAACTTTGGTCCTTGCATTGCCGGGCCACCCAGGAAAACAAGGTGACGCAGGCGGCCCGGCCAGTAGCCTCAATTAAAATATTAAGAAAACAAAAAAAAATCGCCTGACAAACTAAGCAACAAGACATGAGAACAGAAGAAGTGTAAATTTATCAAATTACAAAAACAACCCAAACCTAGATTAGCCAGTCGGGAGCCTGGGACTGCCTAGATTATCCGCATAGCACTAGCAATTTTTTTTTCTCTTTTCCTTTTTTAGAGTAGTTGTTGTTGTTGTTGTTGTTGTGGGTATAGCTCAAGATCATCTGGCGATTAAACATAACAATCTTGGAGATGACTCTCTCTCTCTCTCTCTCTCTCTCTCTCTCTCTCTCTCTCTCTCTTTTTGAGTAGTAGTAGTTGTTGTTGTTGTTGATGTCGTTGTTTTGGGTGAAGCTCAAGATCATCTGGCGATTGAACATAACAATCTTGGAGCTCTCTCTCTCTCTCTCTCTCTCTCTCTCTCTCTCTCTCTCTCTCTCTCTCTCTCTCTCTCTCTCTCTCTCTCTCCCCCCCCCCTCCCTCTCTCCCTCTAACTCTCCTTAACAAGAAAATCTAACCACAAGGAAGAAAAATCTCAGCTATCACCGCACTGCCGCTTCTGCGATCTACTCCGCATATAGTGACACAGAAAAACAGGAGGAAAAAAAACAGCAGACCAGCAATGACAATCGTCTTGCCCCGGATAGAATGTGCGGCGGTCTGTACTGGGTCAACTTTCAGTCTAGATAGAGCTATACTGAAGACGGCAGCACTGACAGTGAAACAATCTGGGCACCCAATCAGTGACCAGAGATCAGCAGAACAGCAATCTATGGACATACTCACACTAGCGGCCCCTAATACCCCCATACACCCCCCCAACACCCCAAACCACCCCCAACACCCTCATTACCACCCCCAATATCCCCTATATCACCCCGTACCCCCCTATACCCCCCCTATACTCCAACCCAACCCCCCCATATCCCCCCCCCATCCCCAAAAGTTTTTCAGCGGATTTGAGCTGTACTCATTAAGCGCAGTACAGCCCCCAACTTAGATTTGAAAAAAAATCAGTGGACGGTTGTTTTTCTGACTGGTCGGCAGACCGCCGACCAGCCGGCCCTACTGGTCGGCTACAATACGGTCGGCGGTCAGGGTCGGCAGTCGGCAGGGATGCAACCCTGATCTATTATACAATAAGCTAATAACAACCAACTGAAATTACGAAACTTTATGAAAGGTTACAAAGACCATTGCGCAATAAAACACCTGTAAAAAGGCAAAAAAAAAAAAGAAAAAAAAAAGGCAGCAGCGGTCAGCAATGCAGTTGTGAGAAAAGATGGCTTCGGCAACATAGATGGTAACCGCACATACCACATAGAGAAATGGCGCCCAAGTAGCGAACTCTCGTTCCCAGTTCCTTAAAGTAGACAAAGGCGCGACCACGAGATGTGGTCCATCTTCTCCCTCGTCCTTTAGCGAAGCAAGGAAAGCAATCGTCTGAATAGTTTTTCCTACCAGCCGCTCAAACAAACGAGTGCACAATTGTTAGGGCCTCAGTCGCAATTACGCAAATGCCCTGAGGTCCATGTTCGCAACTTCACATAAATCAGCACGACAACTTGCAACAAATCCATCTGACCCCAGAGAGAGAGAGAGTAAAGCCGCGTCTGACAATGGGAAGAAGAAGGGAGGAAAACAATACTTAAAAAACAATAATAAGAAATAATCCATGCCCACTTCTGATAATGGAAAGAAGAAGGGAGGGCAAAAAAAAAAAAAAAAAAAAAAAAAAAAACTTCCATGCCCAGCATAGCGTTGATGGGTATGGCCGTGGATTTGTGTTCGCATTCACTTTTTTCTTCATCTCTTTTCTCAGTTTTCTGAGAGGGACTTCGAATTCAAATCAGGTACGAGTTTGGCCATGGGTTAAAAGCATGGCTACGATCGGGACGTCCGGACCGCCGGACCCCAGATGTCCGGTCTGGAAGGTACGGATCTGCCAAATTTTAAGGGAAAAAAAACAAAAGAACAAAAAAAAAACGGTCCTGGACCCTTCCCCACTGAGGAGCCAAGCCCACAAAATAGTTTTGGGGGGTTTTCAGGTCCGTTTTTCCTTTTTTAGGGGGTCTGGATATGGTCTATCTCTATAATAATTTAATAAACATACCCATTTTTATAATTATTAATAATTCATTACTTCTTATTAGTTCCTAAAGTTTTTTTTTTTTGTTTTTTTTTTGTTTTTTTAACTTTCTTTATAGTTTTTGAATTTTAACTCAAGTTTGGTTAGGAATTCCGACATGACTCCCAAGGCAAAAGTGGTTTGCACTGTCATTCTGCATAAATTTAAAATTCTTTTTTTTCAGTTGTTTTTTTCTTTTTCTTTTTCTTTAATGGCCCGCCGCCCGGACATTTCCGGAACCATCCATGTCCGGAAGTCCGGATGTGTCCGGTCTGGGTCCACGTTCAGCGTAGCCGTCGTTAAAAGCTCAAACTCAGGGTTCACGGTTCCGTTCACAACTACTTCACACTCAATCAAGCGAGGGGGATACAGACTCATGCCCAAACTCAAGTTGAAGTTTGGGCATGAGTTCGAACTCAGGGACTCAAGATTCCATTCACAACTTCACACTCATGCAAGGGGATCCAGAATGGTAACCAAACTCTACGAGGTTATACATTGCAATAGCTAAGATAGGATTCGTCAACGCTAACACGGCTAAATCCGCTATACATTTCAAACGATTTACGCTAAAACTATTCCAAACACATTGATGGTCATTATTACATAAATGAAAACACCTATTAGTAAAGACCGTAAACCTTCGATAGCTCCACATGAAAAACCAAGTAAAAAGTGTCACAACTTCACACCTAAGCAAAGGGATCCAGGCTTGTGGCCGCCGAACTCACAGTTCGAACCCAGAGTCCAAGGTTCCATTCACAACTTCAGACTCGAGTGAGGGCATCCAGAGTCTGAGTGTCACGCTGCGCTGACCTTGAGAGTTCGAGCTCTAGGTCAGCATGCAACATTGTCCTCCACATTCAGGGTCAAATGCACAGGTCTACGATTTACGTCACAGGGGTAAAAGTGAGTCTCTTAAGTAACGGCAAGGGACAACAGTAAAAGTGAGTCGCACGGGAAATAACAGACTTCACATTCATGTCAGGCTCGAACTCTGGTCAAGAGGGAGATCTGGGTAATGTAATGGTGAGTATATCAGTGTATAATGACAAGTGACGGTTCAGATCAATCGACCTAATAACACCTTTTCCCCCCCCAAACACCCCTGGACACAACTCACCCTTTCAAATAGAAAGCAACCTATGCATTGCATTTGTTTACAACGCAAATTCGTTATGTTCGGGGTGAAGACGGAAGCTATCCCACTTCCAAAGGGGGGGAGGGGGGGGAATAGTGCCAGCTCGTAGAGATCGAGCTGATCACACAGATAGAGTCGAAAACCCACCCTAACCCGCACAGTCCCCCATAAAGACCGAAAATCAAAACCGCACCATCACAGCTCTGTTGGCTTTTTCAGCAAGGAACATGGATTGCATGCGCATGCAACAATTCTCTCTTCTCATTCTCTCAAACATTCACAGGTGGCGGCGAGAGGGAAACTAATTTCATCACCCTCTTCCCCCGCCTCCATCCCCCTCCCTTCCTCAAGAATGCAAGGCAATAGAATTACCACTTTGAATTTTTCCGCCCTCCCTCACCCCCCTCACTCCTCTCTCTCCCCCTCAAAAAATGCACTCACCAAGACCCATCTCATCAGCTAGGATGATGTGCCGCCCCTGCCACCACGAGAACCGCAGCCAGTTCACACCCTCCAGCTGATACGGATGCAAATCACCTGTGCCAGTTAACACACCATCCATAAAAAATTCAACCGGTAAATATGAAAGATCAAGCGGGCTTAATTTAAAAAAAAAAAAAAAAAGGCACAATAAGAGTGACGAAGACTGACGAAAAATCCAAAAAGCTGTCCTTCGGGACATCTGTTAAAATTGGAGCGATGCCGAGAAAATCCTCCCCCTCCCCCCCCTCCCCCCCCCAAAAAAAAAGAGAAGTGAAAAGAAAAGATTCAAAAGAACATGAACCCTTCCCAAGCATGACATGTGTAAGGCGAGAAATGGCGCAAAGTTCGTTTAAAATTAAAAAACAAAATCCATAAAGCTACGCAGCCCATGTGGCTGAGTTGTTACAAGTCACAAGTTTTGATAAACAGGCGTGAGTTGAAATCCTAATGAAAAAAATAGCTCTGTGACCTCTGTCTGAATTATCAGATGCATAAAATAGCTCTGTGACCTCTGTCTGAATTACCAGGGCCCCGGCCAGTTCCAAGATGATGCCTCAAGGCTGTCACCCTTTTATAAAAAAGAAAAAACAAAAACAGAAAAAGAAAGAAGAAAAAAAAAAAGAATGCATAAATCCTTGCATGATCCAAAAGACCTCCACGAATGAAAAAAAGATAAAAATAATAACCGTAAAGTTGCGTAAACATAAAAGATACATATAAAAAAATAAAATATCCAACTGCTAAACGAGTACGACACCAAAACGGAGCGCCTAAGAGCGTACTCTGCAGCACGCCAGCTATGACTTTCATCAATGTATCTGAGAGGAAGTACACTGCTAATCCCAAATAGTCTGATAGACTTTTTTATTATCTTTACATTGTTTACAAAAGAAAAGAGTCGACCCCGCGTTGGCTACGCCCAAATGTGTCTGGACTTGAACCTGGGTCTGTATTTCAACAGCTCATGGGTACACCAACTGACCTAGGTCTGCTAATCCCAAATAGACTCTTTTTTCCCTTACAAAAAAAGAGTCGACCCGGTGGCGGCTACACCCACGGGGCAGGGCGGAACTTTTAACTCACGAGGCATGCGGGTGTGTCGTGCCCTCGTCCCACCCGCTGTATGCCTCTGGCATTCGTTCGTCGAAGGCAAAGAAAAGAAAACAGGCCTGACCCSCCCCCCCCCCCCCAAAAAAAAAGAACAAAAAAAGGCGAAAAGAAAACTCCAAACATGCCCACAATTATTGTAATAATCAACGGGCCTAGCTCAGCTGGTTCACCCACGAGCGGTTGAAATACAGACACAAGGTGGAATCCAGACGACGACATGAACAGAATAAATTTCAATAAAATATTTCTGAATTTCCAGGGGCCAGTCAATTCAATGACGATATCTCAAGGGCATCGTACCATTTTTCTTAAACAGAGAAGGGATTATTTTATTCTGTTAATCTGATTGCATCCGGATTCGAGGTTGGGTCTGTATTTCGACGAGTTCATGAGCGCACAAGTGTGACCCAGGCCCATGGCAGGGGTCGTCTCTCTCTCTCTCTCTCTCTCTCTCTCTCTCTCTCTCTCTGTGTATGTGTGTGAGCGGTGTGTGCATGGAGACGTGCACATTTCCATTCCCACTTTGGCCCAAGCAGCGCCTGAAGCGGTACAGTGTGTGAAGAGGCGGAGAGCTCTTTCACACTCGAACGAAATAAGCAGGTTGGCACATGCCCGGGGCTGCTACAAACTCGGCAAAAGCAGCACCTCGTGTGGTTCGAGCGGGCGTCGTGAAGAAAAAAAGCACACGCATGGCGGCGGTATGTACTTGTATTCCAGCATGCATTTCATATCCTTACATCCGCGAAAACTGTTACCAAAGAGGGGGCGCGCTTGCAGCGACCGAGGTACAGCGCATCCACGAAAACGGTTCTACGATGGGTCGCTCCTGAAACAACCGAGGCGCCGCGGCGACCCGGGTTTCACGTAACGGGCCCAGGTTAGCTTTTAAAAGGAGTACAGATATCAGGGGGGGGGGGACAAAAAAAAAAATGTATTGCGACCACCAGGGTTACCCACCCGAACGTTTGGGTGCAAACTTCCCGAAGTTCGGCCCCCGCCAAAAATCATTCAGGGACTTTTCAAAAATTCTAATAAAATATAATATATATATCGTCACAAACATATATATTTGTGCATTATGTAGCTTGTAGGGTACATGCCTAAAAATTTACAGGGCACTTCGATTATCCAAAAAAAAAAGAAAAAATTCCAAAGATGGCGATGTCAAAAATGTGCTCGGCCACTCGCTAATTTTTTTTTCCTCTTCCCTTTTTCTTTTCTTTTTCCTAAAACCTTTATAATGTGTGTATAGCTGTGTGGTAGTGCGTATGTGTGTGTGTTTGAGAGAGAGAGAGACAGATGCAAGGAACATGAATATGGACGAAGCACAGAAATCCAGAATGCAAAATCACACTGAAGTCCAAGTAGTCAAAGCCAAAGCAGATAGCACATGGAACCGAGTAACCATCCAATTGAGAATGATACAGAAGAATCGTGAGTCAATGTCCATGCCCTACAGGGCAACACCAACAGCATAACCCAAATGTACCTCTCTCTTGTGAATGGCGCCAGGCGCCCTATCTACTCTACAGCTATCCTACAACTACAGCAATGAAAAGCAACCAGACAACTTGACTACCAGCGAGTGATGATGTCAACACCAGTGCCGACCTCCACCAGCACCAGGTACGTGTCCTCTTCCCCACACTCTCCCTTGTTACCCACACAGCGCCCTTCACCTCCGAAGTACCACCTTCGCCCGGCCCGGCTATGGCCGCCAGTGCCCTGCGTGCAGGCAGCGCCCTACCGCCTAGCGCTGGCCTGCTTGCTCTYAGCGCAGCACTGCCTTGCACAGCGCAGCACACATGCATCCGCGCAGCGTGCCCGCAAGTGCCAGCATTGGCCAAGCTCCCTGCTGCCTCGCCCTGCTTGCCTATATGCCAGTGCAGCGTGTGGGCGGCCTCCCTTCAGCCTGTGACCGGGGCCCAGAGGCTGAAGCCAACCCGATACAGTTGGGC